TTAAATCGCACGTAAAATCTAGTTCAAATATATTTTTAAACTAATTAAAATAGAGAATGTTTTCAATTCGTATGTGTCTTTAGTATGTATATTATATTTTTTTTTTATATTCTTAAATCGATTTTAATAATCTCAAATTACTAAATAATTACTATAAAGCAATATGAAATATTAGAGTAAGAAATAGATATAGGGAGATAATCTTATTCAATTATGAAAACCTATTCAACCGACTTCAAAAAGAAGGAGGCTCAAATCGGTTGTATGTTTTTATGTTTGTTTATATTGTAAATCGGTTTACAATGTAACTGGTGGAGTTATAAGCTATATAACTGTTACCACCACCAGTTATATTGTAAACTGATTTGGAAAATTCTTTTATTATCTAAAAGGATATATGCACTTACAGTCTGGTCCCATAGAACCTTTATCAAAATCGGTTCACTACTTAAAGAGTTTTAGTTCTTAAATCAAAATACAAACTTCTTCCGTTAGACCGCATTCAAAGTCAGGCAGCTCGAATTGTTGACGATCGGCGTCTTACTGTCCGGCTCGACCCACTGAAACTGCGTAGAGATGTTGCATCTCTGTTCATCTTCTACCGAATTTATCATGGGGAGTGCTCTGAAGAATTGTTTGGATTGATACCTGCTGCTGATTTTCACCATCGTACAATCCGTCATAAATTAAAATTTCATCCCAACCATCTGGACGAGTGGCGGTCCTCCACCGTGCGTTTTTCAAGGCACTTTCTCCCACGCACAACCACTCTTTCGAATCAACTTCCAGCAGCAGTATTTCCGAACCGATACGACAACATAACCTTCAAGAAAAGAGCATATTCCTTTTTAAAAGGCCGGCAGCACACCTGCAATGTCTTTGGTGTTGTGGGTGATCATGGGCGGCGGTAGTCACTTACCATCAGATGAGCGGCATGCTCGTTTGCCCCCTGTGTTGTAAAAAAAAAAACTATTTATTTGTAAACACAAATCAATCGCCAATATATACCTACGATTTAGATATTGTTCAAAATATTTTTTTACGACTTTGCTGCCTATAACCTATTTTCTATAACATTTATATATATTCTTTTTTTTTTATAACTATATATTAAATAATAAATAATAAAATATTACATAACGCATACTAAAATTTCAATCATTATATTATATTTTATATGTACGTATGAACATTGGATTCAATAAAATACAACAGAGCTCAACATGAGACATTATTTATAAGTGTTGAATTATTTTACCAATTGTGAAACGAAAATACAATGTTTTCAAATAGATTTATCGAGGCCAATGTACCGAATTTATATACAAATTAGTTACAGTCGCGTGGTACGGGTAAACAGAGGGATTAGACAGATATGCCGTTTATTGAATAACGGAGTTAGTTTCTATTAAAGTCGAGCGGGAGCAAATCTTATTTATTCAGAGTTATAACAGTTTTAAGGATTAGCACGTAATTCAAGATTTTGTTAATATTACGTAAACTGTCCACTGCCTTCCCATAAGGGGGGTTTTACTATTAGTTGCCACGCTTGGCAGACGGGTTGGCAACCACAGTTAGGCTTTTAAAGATGTTTTAAGAGCTACCTACTATTAGACATGCCGGGACCATACAGCAATATATATATATATATATTTTTTTTTTGGAGTGAGATGTACTCCTGACTGGGCTGTGGCTCCACTCAATACGTGTATATTAGCATAAACCCAATATCGACTGTCTCCGGGCACTGCTCACACCTGGCTTGCAATTTTGATAAAATTATAGCTATTGGCGTAGAACGGGATAATGAAATGCCTTTTGAGTTTATGATACGGCTTGTGGGTGACAGCTGAGTTCAGGGGTTATTGACCGTTGTGCATTTCAAGTTGAAATAAATTCGGAAATTCTAGTCTCGCTGAATATTGTACATAATCCAATATCTCTAGATAAGTCAGTTTGAGCACAGAGTATTCGTACGTACAGAATATACACTGAATGTAAGCCGGTACTCAATCTGAAAGGCAGACCCATAAAAGTAATATGCACAATTTTTTTTTAATGGATGATAATGGAATGTTAACCCCGCCTGCGCTGACGGTATACACTGGCGGGGAACCACTGAGGGATGATAAGTGAGAATGAAAAGGCATGTCAGTTAGCCCATCGTGATGAATACACATGGAATTCAACACGATGGTTTTCCAGGGGGAACCACGTGGAGGTCGACTTTATAGGGTATATTGCTAGCGATGGAACTGATAGTCCGCATTCCTAACAATCCTTTCCATCCAGTAACACTAATTACCGTTTTATAAACTGGCAATACTGCTCCATAATTTAATTGTTAATTTCAATATGTTTTGATGTGATAGTTAAATAGTTATATTGTTCCAGTACATTTTTATGGTCCATGGGGTGGCCCATTCTATGCCGTGTGGTCCCGGTATAGAATGGCCTATTCCTTTTTTTTCGTGGGTATCGTAACAGGCGATTAAAATTTAATAGTCGAGAGATGGACAGCAGCGTCCTTCTTAAAACATCACCAAAACTTAACCGCGGTTGTCAATCGGCCTGCCAAGCGTGGCAACTACTGGCGTAATCCTTGTTATGAGAGAGGCCTATGGACTGATAATGTCCGAGATAATGATGAAGATGATGATAATGTAAGATTATATTGTAACAAAACTTATATTTTTAAAGTCGGTTCATAAAACGGAAACAATATATATATATATATATATATATATATATATATATATATATATATATATATATATATAGGCGTTATTGTGTACTTTCCTGGCGACCACGTATGGGTAAACGCAGTGTAGGACGACCCCCCATTAGATGGAGTGACGACCTAAAATGCGATGCAGGGAGTCAGTGAATGCAGGTGGCTCAGAAGCGTTCTTTATGGCAGTCTATGGGGGAGGCTTATGTCCAGCAGTGGACGGATAATGGCTGGAATGTTGATGATGACAATAATTGTGTATTTTCGTATAATTTATCTTGGCACAGATAATATAATACCTCTTGGCAGAAGTGCGAGACAAAAAATCTATCGCTTCCCAGATTGAGCACTGGCTGAAGCTCACACCGCGTTACGTAGTCTGTGGTCATGAAATAAACATAAATCGGTAGACAAGAATAAAATTAATACGATTGATCAATCTAAATGAAATGCTGAGACCGCTGTCAATCATTATCAGGCTGGCGTCACGACAAACACCGCCAATTCCATTAACCGAATAGGAAGTGAGAATAACAGTAGCAATATTCAACACAATTATGTCCCTAACAATGATGGATGATTGCTGGTGATTAACGCTCGAGACGGCAGCTGAGTACCAATTCGGAACCTTTACAATTTGGATATTTATTAATGGGATTGTTCACTGACGGATTGATGCTTGTCTACGTTTTAAACAGTGTTAATTAGTAAGTGTATACTCTGACATTACCCAAATGTTTTTAATGTAAATATAAAAATATTGCATTAAAAAGAATTCTATCTGTTAAAAAAGATTGCAACTGTAAATTTTGATATTGTCAGTCTGTAGATATTTTTTATACAACATAGAATGGCAAACAAGCTGACGGCCTACCTGATGGAAAGTGGTAACCGTCGCCTATAGACATAAGCAGTATCATGGACATAACAGAGTATACTGTTTCGCCCATGATACCCCCCATGCGTTGCCATTCCTGAGGACTCAGGTGTTATTCCTCCGTACCCAGTAAATTCACGCCATATCCCACCCTTCAAACCGAAATACAGCCATGCAAACACAACTGCTTCACGGTTGAAACACGAATGGGACAGAGGTACCCAGGGGATTGTTAGTCATGCGGATTATTTATTTTTATTTATTTACACTTTATTGCACTATTTATAAAATAATAAATACATTTAATTGTAATAAGAAATGATACAAAAGGCGGCCTTATCGCTAAGCAATCTCTTCCAGACAACCTTTGGGTAAGAGAATATTGAGAAAAGTAAGAAAAACAAACGGTAGGTGGCGCACTATTATATATTATCAGTCCTATTGCTTACAATATACTCTAACAGGTCGACCGCCCCGTGGTCCCCCCTTGAAACCATCGTGCTGAATTCCAAGTGTATTCATCACGATGGGCTAACTGACCTGCCTTTTCATCCTCACATATCATCCCTCACTGGTGCCCCGCCTGCGTATACCGTTAGCGCAGGCGGGGTTACCATTCCATTATCATTCATGCCAGCATATACCGACATCGCAGGTGCGTTTACCATTTTATTTTCATTATAAAAAACAATGGAGTATAAAGGTAAGGGAAGATTATCTAATGTATACGCCCAATTGCATCGATTTAAAAAACTCTGTGAGTAAAGGCCTTAATATTATATGATTCCGATCACGCTTGTTTCTGTTTCCACCAAACGTTTCCACATTTTTGTTTGGAATTTTCCTGTTTACTACAGATAAAAACGGTTCTCCGTATGGTGTTGTAACCAGCTTAAATCCCATTTAACCCCTACTTAGAATCTGTACCGGTTTGTAAGGCGGTTCTGTTTGAAGCGTGTTCTTTTCAATATTTACCATATTTATTAAGCAACAACATACAAAAGTGGATTTGTATAGATGCTGTGGACTTCGTTATTTTAATTGATTTTTAAGCGTCCTCCAAAAAATTTGGTTTTCAATTCGATTTATATCTTTTCCGATTACGTTACTTGATTACGTCGCTAACTTGGGTCCGATTGTCATAATTCGTTTTAATTTTGTAACAATTGAAGCTGCCGTTTTTTGCAGAACAAAAACAAAAAAAAAAACTTCTTTAGCAAGATAATTCATATCTAAGTACGCAATTTTTATAATATAGGGTATCAACAAAACATGCCATTATAGGTTATCTATGAAATATCTCGTTATTTTTCGGTGCGTCTCCGATTAAAATCGCATTTTTAGGATCATTATTATATTTACTATAATGTAATATAATTTCTATTGTTACAGAACATGGCGGTACACAGATCAAGGGTGGCTACATGCTACGCTACAAACGTAAGTACAACTTTATAAATTTTGAAATGTACTCTATAATCCGGTGCGAAGGACCAACATAGTGTAATGATGAATTTGATAACTGAACTACAAATATTAATAATATATGAAAATGATTTAAATTTAACTGCAAATGAAAGGGTGGTAATTAAGAAGGGAAAAATTGTTTTTTGTTAAAGAAAAATTATATAGAGAAATATATATGAAGTAAAGCGAAAAAGAATGGTATGTGATAAACAAATATTTGTATCAAAAAGAAACAATATAGAAAAAAAAGAGAAATAAAAAATAACAAAAACCAACATTTAAATAAAGGATAGAATAAAAATTGGCCCATCCTTTTGGACAAACACACAGTTAAAACACACACACAGTTAAAACACACAGTTAAACTTGTAGCACTCATATTTGTACGTCGCAAAAGGGTTATGAGAAAGTTTGTTTCTTGTAAATGAATTTAAACTTTAACCTATACTTTTGTTACAAAATCCAACTGAAATTCAACGGAATCTTTACGTATGCACCATTTTATGCCTTACAATCGTAATGATAGGGTCGTAAATCGATTGTTGTTGAAAGCGTCGCACTTTCATTGGCCCGTAACTCGCAGGCAAGCTGACACTAAGAATCGTCACTCCAATATGTGTAGTATTGTAGGTCACGGTAGATTGTCTATATACAAAGAAGAATAAGATTTTTTTATACAACTTAGAATGGCAAACAAGCTGACGGCCCACCTGATGGAAAGTGGTAACTGTCTCCTATAGACATGAGCAGTACCATGGATATAACAGAGTATACTGTTTCGCTCATGATACCCCCCATGCGTTACCATTCCTGAGGACTCAGGTGTTATTCCTCTATACTCTGTAATTTCACGCCATATCCCACCCTTTAAAGCGAAACACAGTCATACAAACACAACTGCTTTACGATTGAAACACGAATGGGACAGAGGCACCCAAGCAATCGACTTTTGTACAAAGTCTCCCTCTGGTAGAATTTGTATACATGGGACAAAATTACACTCAAAATACTATGTAGTATCTTATAAAGCTAAATTCATAAATATAAACCATAGAGTTAAAACAATAACGCTTCCTTCTAGTTACTCTCCCGTAATTTGGAAAAGTGCGCCGTATATTTGCGGCAAATAAAATGTTGTGACCATTCGGGCTTAATAGATTTATGCAATTTACTGCGGTATAAAGTGAATGAACGTCGTAAAGGCCGTGTTTGTCTTTACGGGTAATGGAATTGGGAATTAACAACTCTTTTTTAAGGTTTGTTCACTATATTCTACGCGCAGTGTTGCCAGATGCGACTTTTAATCTCAATTCAAATTAATTTTTTTTATCAGATTAATGCTTAATAATTATTACTGTTTACTTTACTTTTAATCAATCACAAATATTTTGTTTTTTATACCAGTGAGGTGGCAAACAAGTTCACACCAGAGAGAGACTTTGTATAAAAGTCGATTGCTTCGGTACCTCTGTCACATTCGTGTTTCAACCGTGAAACAGTTGTGTTTACATGGCTGTGTTTCGGTTTGAAGGGTGGGATATGGCGTGAATTTACAGGGTACAGAGGAATAACATCTGAGTCCTCAGGAATGGCAACGCATGGGGGTATCATGGGTGAAACAGTATACTCTGTTATGTCCATGTTACTGCTCATGTCTTTAGGCGACGGTTACCGCTTTCCATCAGGTGGGCCGTCAGCTTGTTTGCCATTCTAAATTGTATAAAAAAAAAAAGAAAAAAAAACTAGTTTACAGCCTACCTGATAGTAAGCGGTTATCGTAGCCTATAGACGCCAGCAATGCCAGGATTATTACGCGCGCTTCATGAAACAGTATATACAGTATTCAATGCCTTAGGATATAATCAACCCTGTACCAAATATCATTCAAATCTGTCTGTAGTTTTTACTTAAAAGAGTAACAAACATCAATTGATCTATCTTATCCACGTTTACACACTTTCACGATTATAATATTAATAAGATTGCATTTTCAGGGAAATACTTGTGGAACTCCTGGTCAGAAGAATGGGTGGTATTGTACGACGACTCAACAATGGCATGGTTTAAGGTGAGATCAACTTTTTTTTTATATAGTATTAAGTGCGGAACTAGTATTTCCTGCGGTTACGACCACTTGATAAATGAAACTGACATCATCTGGAAAATATACAAATTATTAAGCGACATTTAAATGAGAAGACTCTCATTTTTTTAATAGGTGTTTTTTTTAACGGGATATGCTGGCAGAGCACTAGTGAAGGGTGATCGATGAGAATGAAAACAGGCCAGTTAGCCTATCATGATGAATTCATCAGGAATTAACCATGATAGTTTCCAGGGGGAACCGGGAGGAGGTCGACCTGGTTGGGTATATTGTTAACAATGGGATTCTTAGTCTCCATGACTAACAATCCCTTTCCCCTCTATTGGAAGATTTTGCCAGTAGTGGCTACGCTTGGCATGCGGGTAGACAACTGCAGTTAAGCTTTACTTAAGGTTTGCTTTTAATGTTTTAAGAGGGACACTGCTGGCCCTCTCTTGGTCTCTTACGACATCCATTGGAAAGGAAGGGGTGTCCGAGTCTATGCCGAGGCCATAAAGTTAACAATATAAATACATACGTCTATATGTTAATACGTAAATGAAAAACTTTGTACCTCTTTTTACGAAAATTGCGCTGACGGAGAAGTATGAAATTTCGCACACTATATATATATATATTATATATATATATATATATATATATATATATATATATATATATATATATATATATATATATATATATATATATATATATATATATATATATATATATATATATAAAAGGAGGGAAGAATGCTAATATATTTTTTTATTATGCATAAAAATACATTATATCAATAAAAAGAACATTACAACATACACCACCATACCATGTATTTAACACACACACGCTTAAATGCATATAATTTGTTTGGAAAAAATAGGCAATTTAACTGTGTAGCTTTAGCCAAATCTGTGATTATTGAAGTATAGTTTTTAACGATAGAACCTTAATAATGTTAAAACTTATAATTTAAATTAATTATGATACAATTTCATCTACTGGCCAACCACTATGTGTAAATACATATTATTAATATTGCACAGTAACAGTCGACACGGGATTTAAATTGATTTTGTGTGCGTTGGCACAAAGCAACTAAATCGACAGGGAACTAATTAAAATAGTTCTGAAGGGTTTCCATTCAAGTTTAGTTCCGGCTTCGATCCGCACCATTCAATTCTGTAAGATAAAACTGTATAATGCTAGGTGCACATTCTCCTATTAGTATTGAATCAGTTAATTGTGAATATATGTATGTACTTATACTCGCATATATGAAACGTTATAAGAGGATTTTTTTTTATGCAACTTAGAATGCCAAACAATCTGACGGCCCACTATACTGTTTCGCCCATGATACCCTAAGATAACGTGGGAGAGAATACTTTTAATATTATGGCGGACTCTACCTTGTACACATATTTTATACTAAAGAATAAATTAATGTAAATATTAAATATGATATAATATAATTGGTCATGTATAAAACTAAGTTTGTCTAGTTTTTTTTGTCACAGTTTTAACGAGAGATATGCTCTTGAAAAAGGACTGCATATTTTACGAAATAATAAGACGGTCGCTGCTAGTGGTTGAGAAAAATATAATCACAGAATCATGACATTGTCAGATATTGAGAACAAAATAAAAATATAAAATTTTCAAAATATGCTCTAAAAACATGCATTCTGCACACGCAGTAACGTATAACGTTCTTTTAGTACACCGCTCTACCCGTTGACATTGATGCTTTTCCCCATTTTGGGTTTGGTGAAAAAGAACTCTTTTAGAGTTAACCTCGCCTTTGTACATTTGTTTACGTCTATCATAGTCTTATGTATTATTAATGTTTTAATATAATAACTACCTTTAACTTATGTATAATTAGATCGAAAAAGATCGACTGGTTTCGGAATCAATTCGTGATTCTTAGTCGTGGGCGACTGTGATGCCAGTACGAATCTGACTGCGTGCCTCGGCCTGCTGAAATAAGTGCTTGCGGCATCGTCACAGATAAGAAAGACAGCTTTTGAGTCAGGCTTCTGCTAGCGTCAAAATCGCTCATAACTAAGGATCACGAATTGATTCCGAAACTAGTCGCAATTTTTTTATCTAATTACACGTAAATTAAACCGGTAGTTATTACATTAAAATATTAATAATGTGTACAATAAAGTATAAAGAAGTAAATAGATGATCTTAATAGAATATCTAAAGATATTTTTTATAAATCCAAACCTCCATTCCCCGGACAGAAATATTGCAATATCAGTGCGTTCAATTAGATTCTGTTAGGTAAGGCTATCCGTACCAATATCACGATATCACACCCAATAAACCCGTAACATTATTACGAACATATGACTAGTTTCGATTTGTTGATTAAGAAAGTTCTTACCGTCTCGGATCACGGGTCTATTCGACCCTTCGTTTCTATAATATACATAGCTATACGCTGTTTAACTTTCCATTGCAACACTTGGGCTTAATTTAGAAGCGTCAAGCGATTTTTATGCGACTTCCAAAAGTAGGGAACGGCTTCTTTTTAGAGTTCCGTTTCTCAAAAGGAAAAATCTGGATTCTTATGGGATTACTTGCATGGCTATCTGTTTGTCTGTCGTAGTCAATTTACTGCTGAACATATAAGCTTAAGTTTTTTGGGGAGTTTTGCCAGAAATTGCCACGCTTGGCAGGCGCAGCCGCAGTCAGGCTTTAGAGATATTTTAGAGGGACGCTGCTGCTTATGCTTGCTGAGAAAGAAAGGGGTGACCTATGCCGGGACCACACGGCCAATTGTCATTGTCGTGTCATGCAAGACAAAATAAATAAATAAAATAAATAACAAAGGTTGTCTGGACGAGATTGTTTGGCGATAAAGTCGACTTTTATATCCCTACGCATTAAAATTTATTATATTTATAATTTTTGTAAATGGTTCAATAAAATGTAAATTTTACTAAAAATACTTCTATTATGGCTGTGTTTCAGTTTGAAGGACGGGATATGGCGTGAATTTACAGGGTACACAGGAATAACACCTGAGTCCTCAGGAATGGCAACACACGGGGGTATCGTAGGCGAAACAGTATACTCTGTTATGTCCATGGTACAGCTCATGTCTATAGGCGACGGTTACCATTTTCCATCAGGTGGGCCGTCAGCTTGTTTGCCATTCTAAGTTGTATATAAAAATGTGAAAGTTTAATAAAGATTATTTATAAATATAATTAAATTGTGACTAAACGACTTCTGTACTTGTGACATGTTTAGGAAAAAAATATATGAGGCGGTCTAAATAATAAATAGCAAAACAATAATTTTTAGAAATTGTTTCTGTCTCCCTGTCAAAAATAAATCCCAAACAAAAAGAGAATAAAAATCGACTATTTATAACAATAGCACTTTGGACCATGTGCAGCCGTGTGTAAGCTCACAAAAGGATGTGCCATTCACGTCTTGAGTTAGGTAAGGTTCACATGAAAAATAAATAAACAAATACATTATGCTCGGCAAAAGACAGCGATCTCGATTGCGAGTGTGACAAAACACATCGATAAACGACGTAATGTTTTCTACATACATATCTACTAGCTAAATACCACGGCTTTGCCCACGTGATTCAATACATATAATATTTTATGTGCTAAGTTAGGATATAATCTATCCGCATACCACATTTTATTCAAATCCGTTCAGTAGTTTCTGCGTGAAAGAGCAATAAACATCCATCCATACAAATATCCATCAATCCATCCTTACAAACTTTTTAATATTATAACATTAATATGATACCGATATAATAAAGAGGAAAGGTTTAATTTTTAAGACGTTTGTTTGTGGTAAACTCAAAAGTTACTAAATCGATTTTTAAAAGTTTTTCACTTACTATTGTAAGTGAAAAACTTTTAAATTAGCTATTGCTAAGTAAACTACTTTATCAGCGAGTATCAAGTCATATATTATTTTCTATCCTTTGGACCGCAGAGTCCACTTATGGATAAGCTTACAGTAAGTAGTATGTATTCAGTAAGTATTAATAAATGTATTTAAAAACAAAATCTCTCGACCAATAGAAAAAACGAAAAATAACTTAGCAGATTACCTATATATTGTAATAAGCCTTATACGAGAATTTAACGAAAACGTAGTCTAGTAAAATCTAAATGGAATAGTAATAATACAATATACATATCTAATATACCCTATCAGGTCGACCTCCATGTGGTTGCCCTTGAAAACCGTGGTTAATCTTATGGAATTCGTTATGATGTGCTAATTGACCTGCTTTCATATTCACCTATCACATCTCATCGGTATCCCATCAGCGTAAACCGATAGCACAGGCTAGGTTACCATTCTATTCCCCTCTGTCTCTTCAAAGAAATACCAAGTCGTCGACTAGTGTATTAATAGTAGTCTAGAATATTTCTCTTATGATAATTTCAATAAATATACAATGGTACAAAAGAGTACAGTATAATTTTGAATTTTGTAATAATGAATAATTTTTTTTTTTTATACAAACTAAAATGGCAAACAAGCTGACGGCCCACCTGATGGAAAGTGGTAACCGTCGCCTATAGACATGAGCAGTACCATGGACATAACAGAATATACTGTTTCGCCCATGATACCCCACATGCGTTACCATTCCTGAGGATTCAGGTGTTATTCCTCTGTACCCTGTAAATTCACGCCATATCCCACCCTTCATACCGAAATACAGCTATGCAAAAACAACTGCTTCACGCTTGAAACACAAATGGGAGAGAGGTACCCAAGCAATCGACTTTTGCACAAAGTCTCCCTCTGGCGAGGGGAAATTGAGATTCTCTTCTATTTAACCTTAGAAACAGTAGTTGTCTTCGAAGGCTGTTTAGCATAAAAAAAAAATTAACCACAGAAATTTTAATTCAAAGATATCAACAAATAAATGCATACGTTTCTTTTTTTCGGGCAGTCGAGTAATAAACTAACCGAAC